ACGAAAAGTGTTTTTCGACAATAACTTTCGACTACAAAAAGCCACGACATTTCTATTGCCAGAATCGTGTTCCCCTCGCCGAGACGCGTCGAATGAACTATAATTTGACCTTGAAAGGTCAACTTGAAAATTTGACCTCAGGTCAAGGTCATGACCTGACCGGAAAAGGTCATGTTGCATATCAGCCGATGCGTCTCAACAAGACAAACACAATGAGACCATCCACAGCGTTCTATCTCTTTCCAATCGCGAGGTATTGGCAAAAAACTGTTTGTAGCCTCAAATGACCTCGGATGACCTTTCTAGAGTCTATCAGCAAAAATGACACCCTGGTCATCACGAGTGGTCTAAATCATTGTGATTTTGAAATATTTGGACGGTTCCTATGCGTACACACGGATCTAGAGGCATTTTCATTTTTCTCCATTGACTTGTAATGGAAAGGTCACGCCACTGGCCTGACCTTAGGTCACGGATATAAAAAATCCGAGATATACAAATTGTAGGCGCCCATAACAGCATGCAATCCACCAAGTTTAAAACCTTTCTGACAAACACTGCAGGCTGGACATGATTGCAAACTTTTTTTAGGCTTGGTCAGTCAACTTGACCTGGTGACCTGACCTGACATGACCTGTGCTCAAAAATTTCACACATTGTCCAAAATTGATGTACCTAAAGCTACCCCAAGCGGCGCGGCGCTACGCGCCGCGAATTTTTTATTTACACGCAAAAAACGCGACAGGGTGGTAACATATGCCCCCCCCCCACTGGGGCGAAGGCCCGCGCCCCGTTGGGCTCTGCCGAGCAACGCGCCCGGTTGGGGGGGGGGGGGCATTTTGCCCCCCCCCCTAAGATCTCGAGAACCACGCAACCTAGCGACAAGCGGCAAACGGTGTTGGATAGCCCTATCAAGGAACTACCTTGTGACCCAATTTTATTGACCTAGGTCAAAACGATGACGTCACAGGTCAGGTCAAAGGTCCAATTTTCACCGTTCACAGGCATTTCAAGAAATGCGTTGTAAAATCGAGTAAAATGCATTTCATTGAAAATCATCGATGGGGAAATGTTCTTTAAACACATATTTTGCTATTTGAGGTCACTGATACCAGGTCAGGTCACAGAGGTCAGGTCACGGGGGGGGGGGGGGTGTCACAATATGAAAGTGTCGTGTGATACATGTTTTATGGTCCATTTTACATGACAAATGCGATTATGTGGGTCAGGCAGCCTTTGGGGCCAGCTTAGGTCACGTTTTGGTCAAGGTCAGGTCAAGGTCAGGTCAAGGTCAGGTCAAATTAGGTCAAAAGTTAATATTTTTGCATAAAGTGGGTATCAAATCGATGCAGCTCGTCACGGGGAGTTCAATGGTGGTCTTTGTTTTGCCGTACGTGGTCTAGAATAGCTAAAAATAAAGTTCAAAAATTTGACGTCATCTTTTTTGAACAGCTTTTTCGCTATAACTTGGCCAAAAAACGAGATATCGATCTGAAATTTGGTATGTATATAGAAGAGCGCTATGACTATCACATATATTCCAGTTTATTCGAAAATCGGAATTTTTTGGATTTCTTTTAGTTTTTTTTTTCTAAAAAAATCAATTTTTTGATTTTTTTTTGTCAAAAACCTAAAATTTTGAAAATCCGAGATAGCAGTTTTGTAGCGCCGCTTTTTGTCTACTAGAACATATAAAGAACTTTGAAATTGCTTGATAACTGTAGATTTGGTGAGCGTTTCAAGATTGCATGTTTTTTGCTCATTTTTGCTCGAACATGACCTCAGTTTGACCTCAATAACTCCTTTCCTAAGGTGACCTAAGACTTGAAATTTGGTGTGAAGGTGTCAAATTGATGCCCGGGAAGGTACTGAAGATTTAGCGGCGCTGCGCGCCGCCGTTTTCTTGCTATTCAGGAAAAACCACATGGGGGGGGGGGGCAAAATGCCCCCCCCCCAACGGGGCGAGGGAGTAACGTAAACTATGGATAAAGTTAACAGTTGTTTTGCGTATAAAGTGTGTGTCTCGGAATTTTGATATCGTTAATCAAAAAGAGATCAATTTTGCGCCCCCTCCGTCATAAATCAAACGGAAAAATTGAAAGGCGCTTCTTTTGGACGAACGTCATTTATGTCATTTCATTTCATTTATTCATGGAATTGATCACGGGACTAGCCCATTTAAGATCAAAGTCAAACCATAAAATCCCAATCACAACACTCTAAAAAGTTGGCGCTACTACAGATCTTACATATTTCTGGATCTTACGTTTTATACATGACAGTGAATCGTAAAAAAGGTCCACTTCCGTACATTTCCTTTACCCGTGCCCCGGTGGCGGTCTCAGCCAACTTCGCCCTACTGGGGGGGGGGGGGGGGGGCATATATTACCACCCACCTCTAACTAAAAAAACTAAGAGGGCTAGAAAGACGCGGTAAACAGCAGTCGATAGCTCTCGATGCGTACGTTTAAAAGTATTTCGGTCGTTTTTCATCTTAGAGCAATATTGGGGTCACCAGAGGTCATCAAAGGTCAAAATTTGCGCATTGTCATTAAATTTTTCAGAAAACATGCCATTATCTTAGGAACTATGATAGCTAGAAAAACGCTGGGAATAGCAATCGATAGCTTTTGAACTTTTCTTTTGATATGGTCATCATCAAAAATGACCTAAGGTCAACGGTTTACCCTCCAGAGGGCAAAAACTATGCCACTAAATATTGTCCGATCTTCAAAATTTTGGCACCAAAATGTAGCGCTTGCAAAGTTCTAGCCGCACTTCGAAAACCATTTTCATCAAGGTCAAACTTCAAGGTCAAATTCAAGGTCAAAGGGCGGGGAACTGAAAAAGTGCCACTAAATATTGTCCGATTTTCAAAATTTTGGCACCAAAATGTAGCGCGTGCAAAGTTCTAGCCGCACATTGGTGCGGCTAGAATTGAAAAGTTCTAGCGGCTAGAATTGGTGCCAAAATTTTGAAGATCGGACAATATTTAGTGGCACTTTTTCAGTTCCCCGTCCTTTGACCTTGAATTTGACCTTGAAGTTTTACCTTGATGGAAATGGTTTTCGATGTGCGGCTAGAACTTTGCACGCGCTACATTTTGGTGCCAAAATTTTGAAAATCAGACAATATTTAGTGGCACTTTTTCAGTTCCCCGTCCTTTGACCTTGAATTTGACCTTGAATTTTGACCTTGATGAAAATGGTTTTCGATGTGCGGCTAGAACTTTGCACGCGCTACATTTTGGTGCCAAAATTTTGAAGATCGGACAATATTTAGTGGCACTTTTTCAGTTCCCCGTCCTTTGACCTTGAATTTGACCTTGAAGTTTGACCCTGATGAAAATGGTTTTCGATGTGCGGCTAGAATTTTGCACGCGCTACATTTTGGTGCCAAAATTTTGAAAATCGGACAATATTTAGTGGCACTTTTTCAGTTCACCGTCCTTTGACCTTGAATTTGACCTTGAAGGTCAAGGTTTAGGGGTGAATGGGTTCGATTTTCGTGATCCTCATGGTCCAATTGACCTTGTACGAGGTTTTGGCTAAAATCGGTGCTCGTCGCTGGAAAAGTCGCAGGTGACGTAGCATTTTTAAAGTTCCCCGTCCTTTGACCTTGAATTCGACCTTGATCTTTGACCTTGATGAAAATATGTTTCGAAGTGCGGCTAGAACTTTGCACGCGCTACATTTTGGTGCCAAAATTTTGAAGATCGGACAATATTTAGTGGCACTTTTTCAGTTCCCTGTCCTTTGACCTTGAATTTGACCTTGAAGTTTAACCTTGATGAAAATGGTTTTTGATGTGCGGCTAGAACTTTGCACGTTCTACATTTTGGTGCAAAAATTTTGAAGATCGGACATTATTTAGTGGCACTTTTTCAGTTCCCCGTCCTTTGACCTTGAATTTGACCTTGAAGGTCAGGGTTTAGGGGTGAATGGGTTCGATTTTCGTAATCCTCATGGACCAATTGACCGCGGCGCTATAGCTCTAATTGGTTCCCGAGTTATGCGTCGGCATCTTGTAAACTGTCGATATTCGACCTGAAAATCGGCGAAATTTGGCCTTCATCATGACCTGACCTTTGACCTGACCAAAAAAGTGGCCGAAGAAATTTCGTCATTATTTTTGACGCTCTTTCGAACGAAGATAGAATATGGGATGTAAAAAGATATGCTTGCCAATGCACGCCCATGTTTTTGAATGGAAATTGAGGGTGCAGCTGCACACCGTGCACTCCCTCTTCCGCCGCCCCTGATTTCTTGCCACAAACGCCTTCAACCGCTTCCGAATGAAAGAATGTACGATATATTCTCATTTTGTGGAGGTTGGGCAAAGCCTGACCACTACTGGGGCATTCCTCGACTCTACTGGGGCATTTGCCCCAGTAGTTAACATGCTAGCCGAGGCCCTGCACCCATGGGTGCTTTTGCGGCCACTTTTTGCAAAAAAGTGGCAGTGGCTTTGGGATGGCCCCTCTCCCTTTGAAAATGGCTGGATCCGCCAGTGAGCCCATTCGATGAGTTTGGCAAGGTGCACGCTTCACGTCGATAGAGGTCTGCGAGCATTGCGATGGGCGATCCTCTGGAGCGAACCCGAACGGGAATGGGCCGAATGGGCCGTTCCTCAAAGTCCGGCTCATTCCTCAATAAGATTGGGAAATAGCTGCTCTTATTACCGTTTGCAGCGACATCTCTTATGAATTTTACGGTACCGGTCCTGACCTCTATTGACCACTTTTGTTGTTTGATAAATAGATGAAAGTTGCTCTACAATATTCACTGATACCTATGGATTTCGTTTAAATTTGTTTATGCCATTACAAATTCAGATTTTTAGCAGAGATGAATGAAAGGAAGACACATTTTACATGTAGCTGCTAGTGGAATTGAAAATATTTTGCGGTTATTTTGCTTCAATTCGGGGATTATGAGAATGACGCTTCTCTTACGAAACTGGCGCAATATGATAAGCGCGTGAGGGCTTTTTGTATCTATAGGAATCTTGGCTTTTTGTATCTATAGGAATCTTGGCTTTTTGTGTGTGCAGCTGGATCGAGCTGGATCGAGCGGATAAACAAGTTTCAATGTCGATATCTCGATATCTAGCGTGATTTTGTACCATATTTGCTCGCTGAGTAATTTTTTAAGGTTTCCAGGAAATAACGGAATCGTTGCATATTGATACACCTCCGTTGCATTCTGATTCAATCGTCCCCCAGTTCAGTTGGGAACTCTAGCCCAAGCTCTAGCCGTCCTATCGTCGGGCACGGTGAGTACCTACCTACCTATTTTTGTTTTATAGAAGACAAAAAGCAGAATGAGACAGACGCTCTTTTCGTTAATTCCTTAACTTTAGTTTGCTCTTATTATGCCCATGATATTATAAACCCTGAGCTATGAGTCCGAGGGTCAGAATGGCTGTCCAACAGGAAGGCTTAACTGTTGCAATCTGCAAGTGGATACAGAACAAAGCTGAAACCAATTTTGAGGAATATTAGAATTATTGTGGGCCGTGGGGGAGGGGCTTCAGTTCTGTTTTATCCGAAAAGTAGTTGAAATCGTGAGCTTTTAGTTATGCGTGCAAGTCTGAGTCATTTAAAGGGACCCTCCCACCTTCAAAAAAGTTAATGAATTGGCATGAAAGTGATGTCGCTCGGTTCAGAAAGAGCAAAAACGAATATCTACCAAATTTCGTCGAAAAATATTCACCGGTTTTCAAAATATTAGACTTTTACTTTTGTTTACTTTTTGGGATCTCCGCTGTTCCTAGCGACTTTATTTAAAAGTGCGGCATTTGTTGCGCGCAAAGCAGCATATACCACCGCGTGCTACAAAACGTTTTAGTCAAACATTTAACGGACGTTCGAAAGCCTGATGACGTCATCAGATTCCCGTAATGGTTAAGAGATAGGGACCACGCTGGTCCCACCCTGCAAGTAAAGGGAAGAAATTTCTTGAACACCATAAAGCTGCGGGGGTTGCGACCAGGATAAATGGTGGTTTCTGAGCCTGGCCGCAAACTTGGCTATCTCAACTCAAAACTAATGTTAAGGTGGGAGGGTCCCTTTAAAGTTTTCATCATTTGCCTTGACTAAAATTGATGATGGATGCTCTAGTCAATCCCATATTAGTTTTTCAGTTTTTATCCATTCAGAGAGATGGAATATTTTGATATTCACTGTATCAATTTTAACTTAGTTTGAACATTTGAAGTCCCTAAGCTAGAATTTAATGGAACTCAGTTTAAGTTAATTGGCTAAAATGAAGAATTTAATACATCATTATGAGCTTTATTATGCAAGGATATAGTTGGAAAGTATTTAGAGTTACTAAGTGGGTAGGTAGTTAATTTGTGGAACAAGGAGCATTTGTATAAAGATAGATGTAAGATGAATCATCAGATATATGTGATTGAGTTCATGCTCAAGGACTTGTAGTAATTATTTATCAATCCTTCATGATTTACCCAGCATCCAACCATGCTCATGTTAAAGTTGACAAGTAAACTATAATTGAGATGACAGGTTCAGATTGCTGCCCATAACAGGCTACCTACATAAGATAAATTCTAGGCAATTGATCACAAATATTTCAGGAGAGGCCCGAGGCTCTTTCCATATTTCCATAATGAGTCACACACCAGATTGGCCAGGAGCTTGAATGGCAATAGCTTCCTCATGCAGTTATGCAGCATGTTCAAGATGAATAAGACAATGCCAATTAATTACACATCAGTTCCTTTGATAGATCATCCAGCTGCTGAGTTAAGGTTAAGGTTAAGGTTAAGGTTGATGAGCTAGGTTAGACTTGGTCTATTTGGTGCTCATGTCCGGTAGGATGGTACATAGAAGGATCAACAGTAGACATATGTAGGATTGATGACTAGGAATGGCAGGTGGTAGCCCAGTGTCGGTCGAGTCTGTTCTTGAAGGCATTTGTAGAAGGCGCAGAAACAACATGATCAGGGAGCTCATTCCAGGGCGTAACGACTCTATTCGAGAAAAACTTGGCTCTGAAGTGATGGGCTGCTCTCTTTTTCTCCAGCTTCAAGTGGTGTCCCCTGGTCCTTGTGTTATCTTGTAGTTTGAACAGCTTCGTGGGGTCGATATCTAACTTGTTGGTAAGAATCTTGTAGGTTTCAATCAGGTCACCACGAGCAGCCCTGTCCTTCATGTTCATCAGGTCCAGCTTCCTTAGCCTGTCCTCATAAGAAAGATTTCTGATTTCTCGAGTATGTGGGTGCAGTGAGATCCTATTTTGTCTAGTCACTTTAGGGCTTGAGTTTTTAGTGGTTGGCCATTTAAAGGGACCCTCCCACCTTGACATTAGTTTTGAGTTGAGATAGCCAAGTTTGCGGCCAGGCTCAGAAACCACCATTTATCCTGGTCGCAACCCCCGCAGCTTTATGGTGTTCAAGAAATTTCTTCCCTTTACTTGCAGGGTGGGACCAGCTTGGTCCCTATCTCTTAACCATTACGGGAATCTGATGACGTCATCAGGCTTTCGAACGTCCGTTAAATGTTTGACTAAAACGTTTTGTAGCACGCGGTGGTATATGCTGCTTTGCGCGCAACAAATGCCGCACTTTCAAATAAAGTCGCTAGGAACAGCGGAGATCCCAAAAAGTAAACAAAAGTAAAAGTCTAATATCTTGAAAACCGGTGAATATTTTTCGATGAAATTTGGTAGATATTCGTTTTTGCTCTTTCTGAACCGAGCGACATCACTTTCATGCCAGTTCATTAACTTTTTTGAAGGTGGGAGGGTCCCTTTAAGCTAGCCTTTGGCACCAGGGCTCACACTACAGGAAAGATGAGGCTAGTGAGCAGAGTGGTCCTTTCTAGATATTTTGAGGATGGGCATCACTTGCATGTAATACCACTTAGGAATCTTATGTTGTTATGACTTATGAGAAGGTATATTTTGTCTTTGGCAAATTAATCTTGTCTGAGTATGTCATCTTTGATGTTTGACAGATTTACCTGTCCTACTTTTGTGCTGTTTTGTTTGCAAAATGCAATACCTGATAGATCCTCGAGCCTGATTTTTCTTCCCTGCTTATTGCAACTTATTCTTTTTTATTGACAGTCGTACATTTTACATATTTGTACAGCGAATCAGTTTCAATCCTAAATGATCTGTGTAGTTGCAATGACAGTTCAAGCAAACAATAATCGCAGTATGGTCGTCCAAGACTTCAAGCCATCAAAAGCATCGAGTTCCAGGTTTAAATTTGCCATTTTTGGGTTAAAACTTTCAACTGACATTCATCTGACATTCAACTGACATCAACTGACATTACAGTGACCTGTTGCAGCACAGGCTAGTCATCCTCAGTCTGCTGGCGTCGCTGCTGGCCGGCTCTAGCCGGCTGTGTCTGGTTCCAACCGGTTTATACCGGTATGCCGCCCCGTAAGGACCAAGTGGAGCGGCAGGCGTGGCAGTGGGCGGAGACCACGCCCCCGGAGGATGTCACCGAGGAGCACGTGCTGACCGCCTACATCCTGCAGCCGCCGCACAGCCGAAAAACCGCCTGCAAGTCAGTAACACAGAGGAAATGGACTTACTTATTGGTGAACTTCAAATGCAGTAGCCATAAGTGCACAGCATATTTGTCAGAAACATGAGTCATGCTGCAAAGCTAAGTTTTAAACAAAGTTCACTTGAAGCTGATAAAACTTGATTGTAGTCTTTTCAACATTTGTTCTGCCTGGAATTATGTTGCAGGAATATCATGCAAGTTGCTGTTGGAATATGTTCATGCATCTGACTCGCTGAGAACTTGGCAGGCTAACACACTGAGGTGATGGTGCTGACGTCACATGTTGACTCTATGTATCTTACATAGGCCTTATATTGACCCTCTATCACCTAACACTGAACCCTTTCCCCATCTCCCCCTCACAGGAAGAACTGCCGCCACCAGCCGCTATGTATTGCCGGTCTGGGCGAGCACGACTGGCTCTACAACAGCGACGAGACGCGTCTGTACGCCGGAGACCGCGAGGAGCCGGACGTCCGTACCGCCCAGGTGCCCGCCGGCCTGAAGAACCTCGGCGCCACCTGCTACGTCAACAGCCTGCTGCAGCTGTGGTTCCACAACAGAAAGTTCAGGTGCGGATGATGATGTGGATTGAAGGACAGGGTGAAGGGTAATTTAGGTGATAGAAGTTGAAAATTACGTTTTTCTGTGTCTCTCTTTATGTGTCTCAGCAGAGGCAGTTTTGGCTTGTGTAGCATTGGATATTAGGACCCGATACTGTTATGTAAGGGACAGAGATAGGCTATATGCGGACTGGTTCTCAGTTTATCAGGATTATGATTCATGCTGCAAGCTGTTATGACTCATAAGAGCGGAGAGCAGTTTATTCACTGGTGTTATAACAACTAGTCTAAGAGGATAATATCTGCCCGAATGATACGATCTCTTCAGAAACAGTGCTGTTATATCAAGCTGACATACATTGGAGGTCGATATTACAAAATGTATGAACACAATAGTCACAACAGATGGCTGATCTTGCATCATGTTGATTTTGGATGATCAGAAACCACGTCTTCCGCGCTATCCGCGGCTGTTGATTTTACCGTTGATTCTTCCGTTCTAATAAATGACCACACCAAAGGCCAATACAACAGTTTCCAACAACGTTTAGTAAAACATTTCAATGGAGCAAACAGTGGAATGATTACACCCCACCGTCATCCTTTCCACCCTATCTCTCTGTCGCCTCTGTCCCTCCCTCCCGCCCGTTCTCCCCCTCTAGACGGACGATCCTGCAGTGGGACCCGGCCGCCGACTGGGGCTCCTCTGACCCTCCCCGCTCCCCCTACCCCTCTGACCCCGCGCTCCCTCTATCTCCTGACCCTCTCGTTCTCTCTGTCCCTTTAACCCTCCAGTTCTCCCCCTCAGGCGGGCGATTCTGCAGTGGGACCCTGTGGCCGACCCTGTGGAGCAGCTGAACGAGACGCTGCTGACGTCACAGTACTCACCACTGACACCCATCGGTCACCTGCAGCTCATCTTTGGCTACATGCACGGAGGAATGCTCAGGTGAGACACCCACTCCAGACAGTGACAGTAGGGGAGTGTTAATGAGGGATGCTAAAGTGAGACGAATAGCCCAAGCAGTATGGCGGCGGGGGGATGAGGAGTCAACGGGCTGCTTGGACAAAACGCAAACTAAGCGGTGACAGGAAGGAGCAATGTTACGACGGACTGCGTAGGAGAGGCAAAGGACAGACCTTCACGGTGGATGTCAAGGACGTGGGCTTACATGATATGTGAGCTGGCTTTGTCCTATCGCCTAAAGCCTTGATAAGATAGGGCTGACCGAATATAACTGCACGTGTTCTGGTGCATGTGTTGTTGAGTTCACGAATTTGCTATACAATGCTGTCATCTGTTTCCTTCAACTTGCGTTGGTTGGCGAGCTTGGGACTTGATGAGCGAAAGAACGACTCCATATAACGTTAGATAATCTTCAACTGTCTCAAGAAGTCTAGAGATACCGGATGCAGTGACCATTTAAACATTATGACCTGAAAAGTGTCGAAAATATACTAGGAGAAGCTACACGATGCACATAACTAAATTCACAGCTAAGTGCCGATCAAACGGACAGCCGGTGATTATTTGAATCGCGTAACTGGCCCCGTTTTACCCCTGCCCCTGCCTCCGCTGCTGCGCAGGACGGTGGACCCGTCGCCGTTCATCCTGTCTCTGCGGCTGGACACGATGTACCAGCAGGATGCGCAGGAGTTCAGCAAGCTCTTCAGCACGCTGCTGGAGGAGGCGCTCTCCCACCAGAGTCGGCCAGAGGTCAGCGGCGCCGTCCAGCACCTGATGCGCGGACAGTACGAGTATGTCACCAGGTGAGAATTAATGTTAGGGAGGTAAACAGAAAGTTATAGAGATGAGTGAGTTGCAGGTACTCGTATCAGTGGTTTCGTATTACAGAGTCCGTACTCTTAGCTCAGGACAAGTTACGAGGCGCTGGATGGTGCTAGGCGTTTGCAATGTCGGCGAGTTTTCCTTGCGTTTGGATTTTGAAAGCAGTGCCTTAGCTATGCGCAATAATGCTCTTCTTGTATCCTGACCATGGGTGTCGTTTTGTATAGGCATGGTAGGGCCCGAGCCCTACCGATAATTTTGGAAATTTAACATTATGCCTATGGCGTTGCGTGGAAAGAATCGCTTTGAATTGGCAAAAATTTACATTAGAGCCCTACCAATAATTTTCGGAAAGTGTCGCCCCTGATCCTGACTCACATCAGTGATGATAATTCTCCTTGCGCCCCAGTTAGCGGTAATGCATTGGGCCAATGTTCTATAATGGTCGTCATTGCTAATCCTTTGGTAGTTTTCTCTTCCTGCTGATTGAGAATTGCACTGCAGACATAACGTCGTCAAGAACAGTTCCCGCGATTCGCGTTCTGAGTCTGTGTTGGGTCATTTACAGGTGTAACGAGTGTCTGCAGGAGTCCACTTGCCCGTCCTATTTCTACGAGCTGGACCTGCAGATCCAGGGCCAGAAGCAGCTCTCCGACTGCCTGACAGAGTTCCTCCGAGAGGAGAGCCTCACGGGAGCCAATCAGGTACGAGGAGGGCCTCACATGAGCCAATCAGGTATGAGGAGAACCTCATAGGGGCCAGTCAGGTATGTGGAGGGGCTCACAAGGAGCCAAACAGATACGAGGAGGGGCTGGCAGGGATCAGTCAGGCACAAGGAGGAGACTAGGGCCACTAGAGTCGGTATGCGGGTACACAAGTGATATGTTGTGACGAATTAGCTGCCGATATTTTACGTGGGGACTATAATAAGGGTGTGAAGTTTTATTCATAGACTAGGACGCTGGTTGCACGAATCAATTTCTGTTTGAGAATTGATCAGTTTCATGTGTAATCTGGTTGTAGGTGCTCAGACTCATGGATGGAAGTATTCAGTGTAATGTGAGTGTGAATGGCCTTGCTTCAATAATTGCTCAAAGTACAGCGCTTCTGCTTCATTACAGTACAACTGCCAGACGTGCCAGTGTAAGAGGGACGCGTCCCGCGCCATTCGGCTCACACAGCTGCCGCCGGTGCTGAACTTTCAGCTGATGAGATTCGTCTTTGACCGGTGAGGACTGAGAGCCGATTTTCCATCAGTAGCTCGCCGTAGCAGTTCTGAAAAATAAAGTTTTATGAGTCTTTGGTTTCGTCGCTTTGTGTTTGAGCTGCCACTGGTATTGGAATGTATTGCGAAATTAAATGGTGTGATGTTAATATATTGTTTTCTGTATTCGCTCAAAGTTGGTTTTGTTTTGGCGTGTCGAAACCATTGTCTAATATTTGACGTTGATATAGAGTTCCACCGCGGCTCATCTTTTGTGTGGTACCTTTTCTGGTCGTTTGTTTGTAGGTTGACCGTTGACTTCTTTGTTTTGTGATGTGTACCGGTGATCGCCATTGGAGACTGGCCTACATTCTCTCTGAACATGTGTCCGTCCGCGGTCGCCCCCCAGTGAGACGGGTCTGAAGAAGAAGCTCTCCTCCCACCTGCGGTTCCCCGAGCTGCTGGACGTCTCAGAGTTTGTGGGCCGACCGTCGGGCGCCGTCACCTACCGGCTGCAGGCCGTCCTGCTGCACAAGGGCCCGTCCGCCTACTCGGGGCACTACACAGGTGAGGGACAATAAATATAATACACCACTCAGACACACACTGCACAAGGGCCCGTCCGCCTACTTTGGACATTACACAGGTAAAGAACACTACACAGTACACAGACACTGCACAAGGGCCCGTCCGCCTACTCGGGGCATTACACAGGTAAGGGACAGTACACACGGGGCCCCCAAAACCCCAATTCATCATCATCATCATCACATACGGGGCCGTCCGACTACTCGGGGCCTTACACAGGTAACTTCGGGGGCGTCTACGTGCCACACAACACAGGCCGTGCTGCTGCACTCAAGGGCCCGCCTGTCCGCCTGCTCCGGACACTGCACAGGTAAAGGACACTACACACTAATACGGGGGACACAACACAAGCGGCCGTCCGACTACTCTGGGCACTGCACAGGTAACTTCGGGGGCATCTACGTGCCACCCATAACACAGGCGGTGCTGCTGCACTCAAGGGCCCGTCTGCTTACTCCGGGCACTACACTGGTACGGGACCTTACACACCACACACCACACACAGGACGTAACTTCGGGGGCGTCTACGTGCCACACATAACACTGGCCGTGCCGCTGCACAAGGGGCCCTCCGCCTACTCCGGACGCTAATACAGGTACGAGCCGTTAGTTGCTCATATAATGGACGTTACGCAAGTAAATAAACGCTACATACTGCACGAGGGGGTCATGCCCACCAACAGCTGCAGGCACTACAGTGGTACTGAACACTGGACACTGAGCCAACCTCACGTCTCTTACCTGTGCTCTGACATCTGACCTTCTCTCTGTCCTCAGCGCACATCTGCGACAGCGAGACGGGCGCCTGGTTCCGCTTCAACGACGAGGAGGTGGAAAAGATCAAGTCGTTGAAGCTGAACGCCGAGGATGACCTCGAGGGTAGGTCAGGGAGGCCGTGGGAATCAGACAGGCGCGGCATGGATTGAACTGGTTGGTTTGTCACTTGGGTCAGGGACAGTTGCACTTTAACCCGCGCCCCGTAGGGGGGGGGGGCGAAACGGCCCCCCCCCCCCCCCTGTCCTTTTCGGTCGATATCTCCTAAACGGCTGGAGATATCGCCACCAAACTTTCAGGCCCCTCCGGGCATCAATTTTACACATTGTGACCAAAAATTTTTCTAGAGGCTATGATAGGTTGGCCACAAATGACGTCAGAGTGACGTCATGTTCTGATTTTCGATCGAAAAAAGACCTTCGCGAGAAGACCTGTCAGGCCTACAGCTTTGAAGATACAGAAAAATGATCAAGACATAAAAGGTATAGAATTGACAGGGCTACAAAACTGCTATCTCGGATTTTTGAAATTTTTGAGTTTTGACCCCCAAAAATCAAAAAAGCATTTTTTTTTTGGATATATCAGCCAAAAAATCCAAAAAGTTTTTTGAGTTAAAAAAAAACGGAATATATGTGATAGTACCTACCGTCTTCTATCTACATACCAAATTTCAGATCGATACCTCGTTTTTTGGCCAAGTTATAGCGAAAAAAAACTGTTCAAAAATGATGACAACAAATTTTCAAACTCAATTTTTGGCAATTCTAGACCTCGTAGAGCAAAACAAAGACCACCATTAGACTCCCCGTGACGAGCTGCATCGAATCAATACCCATTTTATGCAGAAATATCAACTTTGAAATTTGACCTAATTTGACCTGACCTTGACCTGACCTTCACCAAACCGTGACCTAGGCTGGCCCCAAAGGCTGCCTAACCCACATAATCGCATTTGTCATGTAAAATGGACCATAAAACATGTATCACACGACACTTTCATATTGTGACCCCCGGTGACCTGACCTCGCTGTGACCTGACCTGGTATCAGTGACCTCAGATAGCAAAGTATGTGTTTGACGAACAATGTACCATCGATGGTTTTCAATAAATTACCAATTTACTCGATTTCACAACACATTTCTTGAAATGCCTGTGAACGGTGAAAATCTGACCTTTGACCTGACCTGTGACGTCATCGGTTTGACCTAGGTCAATGAAATTTGGTCACAAGGTAGTTCCCGGGTGGGGCTATCGAACGCCGTTTGAATTTTGAAAATCGGCCGGTAACTGTCCGAGATCTTAGGGGGGGGGGGGGGGCGAAACGGCCCCCCCCCCTACGGGTGGTAGGGTCCGCCGGTAGCCCTACGGGGCGCGGGTTAATTATGGTGGCATTGAGCCCTTCGGGCTTGCAAGTGACGCTTTGGGTTTGCATGGTTTATCAAGATATGCCGATACCATTGATATTTTCGTTTCAGGTAATAAAGTCCCGTGATGCCTCGTGGTGGTGATGTTTTTTATCGAAATAACACGAATTCGTGTTCCATTTTACTCTATTTTTGTGTGCCTGAGAATTGAGATGCATCTCTGAAGTGTCTCAACACTCCCTATTCACTACTCTCTCGTCCCGGCACAGACTCAGCTGCCAAGAAGCCGAAGCAGACGCGCTGTCCGAAGGGCTACCACTCGTCCAACCAGGCCTACATGCTGGTCTACTACCGAGTCCCGGAGACGGCAGAGACGAACGGACCGACCGCCTCACAGGCGGACGGAAAACCAGCCAAGGCGGAGGGGCGGCAGGCAAAGGTGGAGGCGAAGGCGAAGGCGGACTCGAAGGCGAAACTGAAGGCGGAGGCGGAGATCACGCTGCCTGATCATATTCAGACGATGGTGGAAGCCATGAATGCGACGGTCAATGACCAGGTGCAGCTCAATGAACAGGCAAAGGTGCGTAGAGCGGGGACGCTGATGAACGGTGTTATGCAATTGTGGAGTTTACCGTTACGGATTATTTTTCTGTACGCATTGCTAGCTAACAGTGCACTTTGGTCTACTGTAGTCAATGCTATGTGCTCGTTTATTTGCCTATTATTGGGAAAGTTCTTATCAGCTTTTGTATAGGTCATTGTGTTTTCTTTCGCTGATTCAGCGTTGATTTTTTATGAAAAATTGTGAGCAAGAATATGCGCATTGAGCAACCAAAACACACCGCTAACCCGCTTACCCCTCCCCCGTCTCCCTCATCAGAGTGTCTCCGTCGAGGAGTACCGAACCCGTGAGCGGGAGGTGCGTGAAATCTACCCCCGTCTGACGTGCTCGGACGTACGGGCCGGTCTTCTGCTGCTGCCTGCCGCCTGGCTCTCCGCCTGGCTGGCCGGAGACACGCCCGGCCCCGTGGACCCGGCTTCTCTACTCTGTCACCATGGGAAACTGTCACCCTGGCATGCTGCGAAGATGAAGTGTGTCGACCCGGGAGCGGTGAGTGGATGAGAGAGGAGAGGCGAGGAAAAGAGATGAGAGGAGAGGTCGAGAGGAGCGGACTGGAGAGGACAGCTGGAGGTTGGTGGCCAGTTGCAAATCACTACCAAAATGTAGGAACCGGATTTGTTATCATGGTTAGTGATCGTTGGGAGTAAGCTTGAGGAGACTTGTGTTAGATGCAGCTGAAGTCGGTTTGTCCTGCCGGATGTGATGACTCGGTCGGCTCATCTGCAATTGTTAGCAATTAATCATGATTGACCGTTAAGCTGCCACGCCGCTCTGAGCACGCTGTTCGACGTCATCTGAAGTTTTTTTTTTCTTCACATAACGTTCTCTGGGGTTGGCTGCTGTTCCCACAGTACTACCTACTGACATTTTCAGCTATCCCTCCCCTAAATGGGTTCGGTTATAACTGACCTTCTCCCCGCCCTCAGGGCTCTCTGCTAACCTGTCTATACGGCGGAGCCGGTCTGGACCGCTCCGGTCTCTGCCGGGACTGCGTCCAAAGCCGGTGTCGGGCTATCCGCGCCCGCCAACAACTGGAGGAGGATGCTCGCACCGTCACCACGCTCCTCAAGGAGGACCTCAAACCGTGAGTGGGGGGAGCTGAACAGAGCAACTGGTACCGTTGGTCGTTTGTACTGTGTGATTGGTAGAGCCTGTTCGTTTCCCGTTTTGGTTCTAGGCGACTCGGTCTGCCGTTGTTATTTAGCGTTTTGTCGAGAGGGTATAGGTTGTCCGTGCTATGTTATGCCTCATTTGTGCTATCATATTTTTCTTCTGCTGTCTTCCTATTTTAGGAATTTGAATGGAGCCTTATTGAGCAGCCGCTATGTCCAGCTGCCTGAATAGTACAAATTTGCGCTTAATGCTGTTCGTGTTAGCCTGGTCTGACTTTGTTTCGCCTCAGCTACCCACCGGCATCATCTCGTTTCCTTTTCTGACACCACCGTGTCCCCGCAGCGACGACCCGGCCGTCTGGGTCGGAAAGACCACTCTCCGCGTCTGGAAACGTCTGGCTCTGCAGTCTCTGCCCCAGGACAGCCCTCCCTCAGCTCCGACCGGCGGCGGGGACACCCCCAGCTCCGTGCCTGGGACCGCCCCTGCTGCCGCTGTCACCACCACCGCCAGCTCCGCGCCGGCCACCGTCACATCCGCTCCTGAGACAGACTCGAACACCCCCACCGACCAAACCACTACCAACGGCACTGGTCAACCTTCCAGAAAACGACCGGCGAGCTCGGTGGAGGATGCCGGCGACTCGAGTCCCAAACGTACCCCTGGCCGGCGGGCCTCGGCCGCGGAGGACAGGACTGTGAGAGTGGGGCTGAGTGAGGACACGGCTGTGGAGATGGCGGTGGACAGAGCGGGGGAGGTGGAAGAGGAAGAGAGTGGGTTGGGTCGTACTAATGGTAATGTGGGGGATGAGGGTAAGGTCAAGAGTCTTTCAGAGGCTGTGGAGGGGAGGTGTAAATCGGTGCTCAGTGCGGAGAAGAAGGACGCTCTTGCGAGTGAAGTGACGGAGTCTTCCGCGTTGGATGTGAAAGAAGAGAAAAACTCAGACGAGACGATACCTGCAGAAAGTAAAAACGTGTCAACCGACAAGGAAGAGGCGCCAACGAACGGTGCTGTGCCTTCCTCTATGGAGACTGAACCAGCGGAAACATCCCCGGATCCCGCCAACCGTTCACCATCCCCTTCCGCGTCATCCTCCACCTCACAACCCGCATCAACAGCCGCCTCACTGGCCTCCACATGCGCATCAACACCAGCAACCACTCCAACACCATCCGCGGCTTCCACATGTGCTTCAACCTCAGCTGCAGCAGGTTCTTCAGCTCCCCGGCGGTCGTCCGTGAGCCGCTCGAACGGTCACCCGGAGACTGACAGCGAGGGCACGGCTCGTGGCCGGCCGGGGGCGGAGACGGAGGACACCTCCGGACCGGAGGACGACGAGGATGACGAGGAGGAAGAGTTCAACGGTGACCTGCGCTGCGCGCACGGTGAGATGGGGGAAAATGACGGGAGGGGTTTTTAGAAGGCTTGTAGGGGTAGAGGAATCGTTATGTCGAAATGAGAATATGCTGGCTATTTGATTCCCGATCTAAAAAAAAACTTGACTCTTGCTACTTTTAGCTTGTTGGCAGTCTCGAATTACTTCAATATTGTACAGGAAATGCGTCTCATAAGCATACCTGACTGTCTTCGAACCCAGAATACGAGCAAGGTTGCTGCGACATGCGCCTCTTAGCACTCCGCAGTCTGCACCATGCCATGACAGCAGTCCCCCACTCCCACCCCACCCCCGATCTGCCCCCAACGGTCTGTCCGCCAGTGTCCCAAAATTATATTTTAGCTTGGTGTCAGAGAGGAAAATTATTCCGTAGACAGGGTGAATAGGGTGGAAAATTGCCGGTAAGGTAAAGCTAACAACAGATGCGAGGGATAAGAGTGGAGTAAAAACAAATTGATAGCTTAGGTACATTTTCACACACACACACAAAAAAAATGATAGGGTAGAGCGTGTAATGTAGGAAGCATCGATATGTTGTTTAAGACCATGTACGCATATGCCCTTTGCTTTTTCCGTTCGGAGTGCAAAATTGATCTTGAAAGGTTGAATTGAGAGTGGAAAATGGTTTTCATTTGGATGTCGTTTCACAGTACCCAAAACGATTAATTTTGGGACACTGCTGTCCGCAGGTGAATTTTGTATAGAGGAGAGAATCCGACGGCTGGTACTGTATCTTACCTCCCGCTCTGACCGTGTCATTACTCCTGCCTCCCCAGGTGAGCTGTGTGTGGAGGAAGGTGTCCGACGTCTGGTACCGCTCTCAGTGTGGTCAATACTCGTCAAATACTTCCCCGACGCCCCGGAGTACGGCAGGGACCGGCAGCTGTGCCAACAGTGCAGGGTAAGGCAGTGTGGGACGCACTGTAAGCTATGGGTTGGAAGCGCTTTGGGGACCTAGCCAGCCTGCTGTTAAGGTGTTTTGTTCCGGGTGCATTCGCCTTGGAATCCTTGGTCAAATGTAGTCAAATATGAGGTCAAAAATAAGATTCAAAATGAGGCATTTCACCCTGGCAAATGCACCAGCTACACGGGTACTTCTAAGCTTTATCCATTACGAACGCTCAATCTACGCAGCTGGCTCAATTATTTCCTGTGTGTCGCCTTGCGACATCTGCATTCGCTTTGCCTTTGAGCTATCCAATTTCCAGCCCAGCTTGCCTGTCACTAGCAAGTATGCTATGACCTGCTTTTGGAGGTCCTCTCTGAGCAGTACCCCTCCGCTCCCTTCCCCAGGATCTGAGGGGATCACTGACACCCTATCCATCCCAACCCTGAAATAGGAGCACGTATGCAAGGAGGAGTACAGCAGCTGCTGACATCCCCTTTCTTCCCCGTCCTCAGGAGCAGGTATCTGAAGAGGAGCAGATGCGTCAGCTGTACCGGCAGATGGCCACCGAGCAGCGTGCCGCTATCAGCGACCTCTATAGCGATCGGCTGCGGCCGCAGGTGGCAGCACCGTCGTGCCCGCCCGGCCGCTACCACGCCCTGGGGCGGCAGTCGACAGAGCTCTGGAGGAAGTTCCTCAAGTGAGTGCGACTTGGTGAATGTGGCGGTTGGGTGGGCAGATACACGTTCAGAGTAAATACGCGCTAGCCGCCCTAGAAGAAAGCGGATTATTGGTAGATATACATTTTCTGTCTTAGTGTCTTGAATGAATTGCAAAAAGCTCCTAGGAATCTTTGAAAGGTTTCTAGGACGACTCTTTGGACTAGGACGATACTTTTTTGTCCTGCAATTCTCTGAAACGCTCCTGCCATATTTCCAACACCCACATGGCGCCTCACACTCCTAGTGAACGCTCTTCATCCGCAAGTCTCGCATCCCACTTTGCCACACAGCTGCGTACTAGCCTAGCCTCTCCTCCCCCAAACCCATCTCTCCCCTCATCCCCCCACACCCGACCGCCGAACCCATCATCCCTCCACCCTCCTCTGCTCATACTGTCGGAGCTGTCTGTCGGTGCCGGCGAACCGGGAGCGTCGGCCGAGCCGCGCTAATGACGCGTTTTTACCGCCCCGCTGACGTCACGGCTCGGCCGGCTGACGTCACTGGTCGTCTGTGAAGCCGGCGCCGCGGTAGTCCGCCGGCTGAGCAGTGATGATGGCACCTGGAAACGCGTAACTGCTATTATATCGCGTGGTTATGTACACGAAGTCCATTGACTTCTACGCAACCCTTTGTACCTTATTCACTATTCAGTATAGCGTTCAATCTCTAGTCTGGTGTCTTGTCGATAGGTCTCAATTGGCTCAATTTACAATAAGACGTGCCTTCATGCGTGCTCTGACCGCCGTGGAAAGACTCTACGATGAAAGACACTGTGAGCTAGACATCCTGTAAAAGACCAGGGTCTAAACAAGAATCCTCACTCTCCTTTATTCCTATAGAGCACCCCCGCCGCCCCCGCTATCCCTGTCCAAGTGTCCATCCAACCATACCAACCCCATCTGGTGTAACACCGTCACCGTGTCTGAGGCCGGCTCTGCGTCCTTTTTACCTCCCCGGATGAGCCGTCTCTGCGCGCTGAGCCCGGCGGTGGCGTGGACACCCCCGGGAGAGGAGACTGGACAGCGCGGAGCGGGCTGATCCTGATGGATGAGACCGAGAGAGACGTGTCACCCTGGAGAGCGGGGGGGGGGAGGGGGAGATGGCAGGTGGCGGGAGAAGGGGCTGGGAGACAGTCATGGTCTGATAGGAGGCATCTGGCATTCATGCTTTTTTATTGACGCTGTATCAATTTTTAATGTGTTCCCGTTATTATGATGTTCTTTGGACGTTTCTCCTGGGTCGATTCGAGTCTCATTATGAGTTCACTACTGATTCCATTCCTCACTTTCATCTCTTAAGCTCTTCTCCCTTCCCTAAGTCCGTTTTACTCTTCCCTCTTTTACCTCCTCTCCTCCGTCCGTCTCCCTCACCTCCCATGCCGGGTCGTCCATCGACTTCAGTCCCGACCCATTGTCCGCGGGCGGTCCCATCAGTGTCCGACCGTGTCCGCCGTGTCCGAGGATGTCCGAGGATGTCCGCCATCCACCACTGCCGCTGGACTCCACCGGGAGACGGTACCGGACACCGGGTTTCTCCGAGTCCGGACTTATGCCACTAGCGTGCGACTCTCTGCCGGAAACTCGCGCTGGATAACGTTTTGGAATGTAGCCAATAATTTATCCCATTTTCTCCCATCTTTCTTACTTCCCGCCCATTTTTTCTCCTTACCCATTCCATCCTCAAATCGCATTTGTTTCGCCTTGCTTCTCCGTGCTCACTGCTCATTCTAACAGGTTTAATTCCAGTTTCTTTCTTCAAGACAGCTCCGTTCTTTGCTTACTCTTACACCCGCCTCTAACATCTCATCTCCCTCTCTACCCCTCGCAGGTCCTCCTATCTCCCTCCCTCTCCTCCTCTCCTTCTCCTTCTCTTCTTTCTACCTCCCTCTCCTCCCCCTCCCCTCTCCCTGCGGGCGCCGGTCGGCTCAGCCCTGCGTCATTGTCGCTAGGCGCGGACCGTTTTTGGCCGGCGCCCCATCCATCTTCTCCTTCTTTTATTTGCGGCTAGCCATTCTTCCCTGGGTTTTTGGCCGGCGGCACTGTGATAGATCGGTTTTTAATTGGGGCCGCGGCTGGTCAGCCGCCTGCAACCGAGCGGGGGAGCAGGGGGTAACGGTGTACAACTTCTTCAGTGGTGTTTTTGTGGAGAGTAAAGGGACCGAAGGAACTTCTTGGAAAAGAGAGTAGTCATGTTTACAGATAGCTGCTGTCGGATTTATTGTTTACTTTTGTGAATGTTCTGAGGACCTGGCCATGTTTGGCGCGGTATTTTTAGCATTAGTTCATAGCCTACCTATTTTTTTTTATTTTTGTAATCATGCCACGTCGTTTGGTTAAGTTTATTGTCTGACATCCAAAATGGTCTCTGTTCATTGATCCCGATTAAAAATTATGTCCCTTACTCGAATGCTGAATGCTATCACTTTCCATTTTCTGACCTGCAGTCTCACCTATCTAGCCTCTGAATCGGCTGTTCTGATCCCTGGCCTCAGTTCTGACTCCATCCCCTCCCTTCCTCTACCTGCGCCCCCTCCTCTCTCTCTCTCTCCCAGTATCGCCACAGTCGCGCAATCGCGGCGGATCACCGAGACCATTGTCCGGGGGAGCTCCGGGTCTGGGATAACCATGAAATGATATCACTCGTCTCTCTCTCTCTCTCTCTCTCTCTCTCTCTCTCTCTCTCTCTCTCTCTCTCTCTCTCTCTCTCTGTCTCTGTCTCTGTCTCTGTCTCTGTCTCTGTCTCTGTCTCTGTCTCTGTCTCTGTCTCTGTCTCTGTCTCTGTCTTTCTCTCTCTCTCTCTCTCTCTCTCTCTCTCTCTCTCTCTCTCTCTCTCTCTCTCTCTCTCTCTCTCTCTCTCTCTCTCTCTCATTTCTCTCAGTCATTCCCCGTGACTCTTAACTACCTTATCCGAAATCAACTGCCACCAATCAATGTGTGTTGTGGCGTATCATACCTCTCTATTACCGGCTGATACCTCCTATAGCTGCCAGCACCGTACGGTATATGTACTGGTATCGTAACACCGCCCGTAAGTTAGTTGCCACCGGTGTGTTGTTTGAACCCAACCTCCCCCACCAGTGGACTACCGTCTCTCTCGTTTCTCCCGTGCCCGCGCTGGGAACCAAAGTCTGCCGGCGCGGCCGCCAACAGCCTCCGTGGGGCTGTTTCTTCGACGAGCCGCTCGTAAAAATAACTGGCGCCAATTTTCTTTCCCTCTTATTGCGGCCGGAAGAAATGCTTGAAATACGACGGGGCTGTGGTGTAAAGAGCGGCCCGTTTAATGAAGAGTCGGTGTTGGGCGGTACAGTTGCTTGAAAGGGGCGGTTTAATCAGCTGAGATTTGTGGTGACGAATAATGATTGAAGTCTGACTAGCGTATTTTGGTTATGATCGCCTTATTTGGTTTGTCGTACGCTAATTATTAATATCACGGCGTAAGTTTTTTTTTGCGGTTTTGTTTTGCTGAGGGCCCGGATTTTCAGTAGTATCTTTAGATACGGACATGCTGTCTTGCTTTATTGTTGCACATTATAGCTTCTTAATGTTCAGCAACATATTTTTAGGTCTTCTCATTGCTTTCGTTTCTGCAACATTTTCCACTTTGTTTTCCACTCACCGAGCTCTTTCTTTGTTCAGTTCTTTTTACCGTAGTTGTCTTTTTGCCTCAGGTATGTTTTTTCCTCTCCCTCTGAGCTCTTGACATGAAGGCAAATTGCTTCCATCGCTCGCTCGCAACAGGAATGAGACAGCGGCGTATTTGCAATCGCTTACCGTAACTGTAACTAATCGGCGTGCGGGCGCTTCATTCCGGGGGTGCCTGGCCGAGGGGAAGGGGGAGGGGTCACGGTAGAACACCGGGCTTGGCAATTTTCGACGATCAGCAGTTATATGAGGAACGATTGGGACGCCGCGGAATGACAAATTTGAGCCAGCGAAGTCAGGGTCTGTGACACACCATTTGTTGTGAGCTCCACGACGCTGTTTTGTTGTGTTTTGCTGGGGGAGTTCGTGCAGTTGTGCCTATCATGTTTGATGTTAGTGTTCAGTGAATGATGCACGTTATGTTGTGTTGTCGGTCAGCATCAATTTGTTATGCTGTCTGTTGTGTGTCTGGTTGGTTGATTTGAGCTGAATTGAGTTAATAAATCTACCGTCATTTCGTTGGGAAGTACCGGCTGCGTACCGATTTCGAATTTCGCCGTCTTTTAGTCTTGCAGAGTTCGAAGCCTTATTGTATTGCGTTCGTCTGAAATCCGTGCCGTTGTCTGCTCCAGGGACCCGCTTCGGAGAGACCCGGCGAACCTGGAGACACGGAGTCTGCTCTGTCGACACGGAGGACTTGTGTTCTCACCGACCGACCCGGAGGACAGGCACAGGTGGGCAGGTGTGGATAGATTGTGGGAGCTCACCCCGTGGGTGGGACTCTCACCCTGAGGAAAGGCACAGGCTAACTGGCGGGGAACAAGTGCCCAGTAAACATGCCGACGTCGGCCCGACGTCGGCCGACGTCGGGGTGACGTCGGCAACTCGGCATCGGCATGCCGACGTCGGCCCGACGTCGGTCCAACCTCGGCACGACGTCGGCTGGATGTCGGATATGCCCGCATGTACCGATGTCCAGCCGAGGTCCAGCCGACGTCGGACCGACGTCGGACCGAGATCAATTGCTGAGGTCCAGCCGATGTCGGGCCGACGTCGGGGCGACGTCGGACCGACATCGGCCGCTGTTTTGACCGTTAAAATAATATAAAATACATGATTCATGTTTCATAAAGAGCTTCTGTATTCAAAATATCCTCAGGAAACTCAAATCTTCCTCCACGCCGCAACCCCCTGATCCGGACTGGACGGGAAACTTTATCCCATTTGGGATTGCCCGTAAGCCGAGCTCGCCCGTAGCCGGGTGCGGTGAGTGCTTGGGGGCTGCTCGGCCTATCCTTTGGTCAGGCTCAGCCCCGGCAACTCACCAGGGCCGGGCCCAGTTCATATAGAAAGGCCAGTCGGCAAGTGTCACTTTGCCAAAGTGCCACTTATCAAAGGGACACTTTGGGAAACGTTGGTGCAGGTGTGTAAGAGTGACTATATGAATCCATTGTGGGGTCGCCCTTTCCAACAAGTGTCACGTAACAGCAATGGGACCAGGGGCAGGGACTCTATATGAACTGGACCCAGCGTGCTCGCCAAGAAGACCAATGTCTCCTCAGTCCTCTCCATCCTATCATCCTTCCGGCTCTGAAATGGTCTTGTCAGACCGAAAGGGCATAACCCAACAAAACAAACTAAGTCCGCCATCTGGCTGCGTGGTGTAGTGGTTAGCGCACTAACCTCGCGTTCAAATGACACGGGGTTCGAATCCGATCGCCGGATGATGCTTTTGGCGTGTTGTCCCAGTAAACATGCCGACGTCGGCGACTGGGGGGCTTGAATCCCGCCGCCGGTTGATATTTTTGGCGCGTTGTCCCAATAAACATGCCGACGTCGGCCCCGTCGGTCCAACGACAAACGATCTCGTCAACCTCGGCAAACGACCTCGGCCCGACGTCGGCTCGACGTCGGCTGGACTTCGGCTGGACGTCGGAACATGCGGGCATATCCGACGTCCAGCCGATGTCGGGCCGAGGTTGAACCGACGTTGGGCCGACGTCGGGCCGACGTCGGCATGTTTACTGGGGTGAGAGCAAATGGGTGCCGGCTTGGCCCTTAGGACAGACACAGGTGAGCTGCAAGTGGGGGACGGATAGGAACTCAGCTGTACAGGGGTCCTTACCTCGAGGACAGGAACAGGCGAACAAGTGGAAAGGGAGGGGCAGGTGGGTGCTCACTTGATGGTTAACGATTTTCTGTTCTTCATCGGGAGGAAAGTTGTGGTTGTCAGTTGAAGTCGATTCGCGGTCTTTGAATGAGACGTCTTGGACGGGCGTACTCAAATTCGAGTAAGGGGTACTAAGTGCTAAGGAATCTCACTGAAATATTATGGAATCTCATTGCGCCATTGGAATGAAGGCATGAGGTCAGCTGGTTGCGTGCATGCAAAACGTATCAAAGAATAACAAAGAATGTTCTCCAGGTAAGCCGATCGATTACCTGCTGCGTTAGTTAACACCACTTCATCACCGGTATCAGTAATTTGATACCTCTATCATTTGCCGTCTCGTTTTTGGCTCCGGTTTTGTCGTCATTATCAGTTCTGAGCCCACGGGGCGCCCGCGAGGCGGTGACTGATGCACATGAATATTTCATGTTGGTTGTGCCCGGGGCACAAAGCCACTGATGATGCGCTCTCGCAGACTGTTGGCGAAATTTCGACTCCGCCGGTGAGGTATGCTCTGAGGTGTTTTTGCGTTCCACTTTGTCTTGGTGTCTCATAATGGCTAGCTATGGTGAACAGAGCATCAGAGCATGGATGAGAAATGGAGACGGGACATGCGATAGAGAAGATGGAGTTAAATTTGCGAGCGTTTGTGGAATAAACTATAGGAAAATAAGTGTCAACTCAGGCTTTCCACGATCAAAAAATGTCCTTTTGACTCGCTTTCTCGTAACCTTGATGGTCGCCATTCGATTAAGTACGAGTACCAACTGCTATGCGTAAGATTCGGTCGCGGATTCTGCAAAGCCAGCAATCCTTTCTGTATTCATGACTAGCCCCGTCGATTCTTTCGCCTGTCAGGGCAGTCAACTACTCACCTATGTGAACGTCTGGGATCTCAGCGACTACCGGCTATCTGATCGCTGGCCCCTGCATTCTGCGTCCCCGTCTCCGTCCTGTCTCTGCGCTTCTGTCGCCATGGCGGCCATGGCTGCTTTCACCTGTCTCTATTCTCCTCTGCAAGCTACTTGCACGGGCGGATTACGATGCAGCTGTGTTAGCGTCTGTTGTCATGGCAACAGCGGCGGCTGGGGAGAGAGGGAGAGAGCTGTGAAGTGGCAGTCACCTCTCGCCTCTCTTCTCCCTGTCATGTGGCTGTCGGCACCGTCACGCAACCTGTCACAATGCCTGTCATACTGCCTGACACGCTGTGTGATGTGTTCATCTTGTGACCCTGGCTGGTAGCTGTAGCGGCTGGTACTGTGCCGTGTTATGCGTGCATTAGGTCATTTCACAGCACAACACAGCTCATAGAAATATAGTGCGGTACACTACAGTATGGTGTAGCTCGCGATGTCATATCACCGTCGCCGATTTTGAGAAGACTAAGACAACCACGAGTGCCTGGGACGCTACCCAGCCCCCGACAGCCTTTCGACTGTCCTGCCCTAGCGTATCACCCAGCATACCACAAGCATCCGCTGTCAAGACCGGCGCGGTCCGCATTTCGTATGCAGACTGGGGCGGACGACCTACCGAGCGTAACCACTGGCGGTCACGGACAACCAAGTCGAGCTGGAGCGGCACGGAGTTGATGGAACGGCACGGAACGGGGAACGAGTAGGCGACGCGATTATGGGTGGAGGGATATCCTGGACCGTCTCGGGGACAGCGGAGGAGCGGGGAGGTGGGGGGGGGGGGGGGGGGGGGACGGGAAAGGCGAGGCGGTGCTGACAGACGGATGGACGGACGGTGATCATTGGCTGGCTGGCAGCGCCGGTGTGGGAGCGAGTCTCACCAGACGTAGGGTCGTGGCCGAGTGGGGTTGAGGGATGACAACCTCGACATGCGTGGAGTTAGTAAGGAGCTTTGGATATTTGCACATTCTTGGCGAATTATATGCACACATCTTGATTTTTTATTGGAATTTATAACTTATACTTTCTTCGGTCGTATTCTCTGCCTACTCGTCCCTTCAGTTCGTGGCCGAGTGACGGGAACCTCGAGCTAATAGGTCCGTCGTACTGATAGCGCTGCGTCCGGGCGCCGACTCTTCGTAATCCGTTGTGCTGCTACTCCTATGACCCAAACGCTAACCCGCCCATACCCATGATACCCGTGCGAACCAAACGCCGACCCGTCCTCCTCACCCGCGATACCCCTGTGGCCCATACTGATAGCCCTGTGTTGAAGACGCCGACCCGTCCTCACCCGTGATACCCCTGTGGCCCAAACGCCGTCCCGTCGCCTCTAAACTGGTCATCGATCGCCCCGGGGCAAAAACGGCGGCGTCGGGCGGCGTGACAAATTCAGACGTCACTGCCAGGGCTCACACCCCTCGCTCGTCCGCCGTTGCCCGGACCCGAGGTTCGGGAGGGCCTCCTGGAGTCTCCCGAATGTCTTTAAGGGCGTCTCCTCGGCATCTTGCCTGTTTATCCTGGTCGTCTCTACGGATTTTCCGGAGCTATGCTAGGCATGTTTCATGGTTTCTTCATGTCTTGTATGCCGTCTTCCGTCGTCTTCATGGCATGTTTCGCGGTGCTATTCGCGAAGTCTCCGGCGTCTCTTGTCTGAGTCGTTTCTCAGCGTCTCCTGCGCCTTCCTGCTGTTGTGCTCGGCGCATGTCTTCTCAATGCTGCCGGGGCGTCAGTAAGCTCTAAAATCCTCAATAGAATCATTTCAATCCCTTCTCTTTCCAACCCCATCCCGTCCTGCCCCGTTTTAAATTTCCGTCTCTCGTCTGGCTCTCGCGTGGCCGTCGGATTTCTCCCACCGGTCCATCCCCTGCCCGCGGAATAGGGGTAATGATGTGCGCATAACGCTGATGCATGGTTCGTGACTGTTGAGATTCGGCCAGGCCGTCGTTGCCGACGGTAATGGATCGTCGGCCGGTGGCTCCGCTGCGTCGCCACCGGCGGACGGCCGGAGCGTCGTTAGCTGATACAAATGACGGCGACGGGACGGTGGGAGAAGGGTGGTGGAGACCGGGGTATGGCGGTGGCGGTGAGGTGGCTGGGTCGAGGTTTAATGCGGGATTTGAGGTGCGAGTAGGATGAAGAGTGATATTCGCAATCGCAACTGGATGACGCAAATGCTTAGCATACCAGGAGTGGTTGACTTTCTAAATTTTTGCTTTTCCCCTTTTGAAGAGCTCTTGAGAGATGTGACTGGAACGTCAGCGCTGCTGGACCTTGATGTTGCCAAGTGGCATGTCCTACACGTAGATTCCCAAATTTCTCGGTGATTCACCTTGCCCTTGCGGAGCTCTCGCTAAGCCGAGTCTGACTGACCTGATTTGACCCCGGTGACTCGGCACACCCCGTCCCTCCCCGCCCCCTCGCCGTCAGACAGACAGGTTCAACGGACGCGCCATTTTTTCGCGCGCACTTTTTGGGCGGCGTTTTTGCGCGGGTGGTTTTTGCGCGCGCCCGGAGACAGCGCAGGTCTGTTCTGGCGGCGGGCGGGGGCGGGGGCGGCCGAAATGCTTGGTTGCATCGCCGGCGGCGGGTGAGCCGACAGCTGTGGCTTCCGATGACGGCTCCGGGCTGAGTCGGTCTGACGGGATGACGCAGAGGGTGACATGGGCTGGGGTTCTCGAGGAACGAATCACATTGGCTATGGAAGAGGATCTATGATTTGTCGTTGTTATGAAGGACTGTTCGGGGGTTTGGGCTTGTTCTGTTTAGCGCCGGTATGAGTTTCATGCTTTGGTGTGGACATGAAGGACTATTCGGGGCTCCATTCCACTTAGCTTCATACATTCGCTTTAATGCTGCTGCAAAGGACTGCTTGATATCTTTTCCTTCTAGGGCCGACATGAGGTCGACGCTGCCCCAGAGAACTCCCTGGCGCTGTTCCACCCGGCGTCAGTATGAGTGAGTGCGTGACTTGCGGCATGGGTCCATCACCATCAGCGACCCGTGGCGATCCCGCCTCTCCCGAGCCGCGGCGGCGCATACCTGAGCGGCACGTGATTAAGCGATCAGACGGCGGCACGCTCGGCCTCATGAGGCAGACCCTCCGCTGACAATGTCTCAGTCACGCTGAGGCCGGGGTCACTGACCTGAGTGCCTGTCATGGCTGACCCTCCTACTCCTCCGCTGAAGCTCGACCTCCGGCTCGCGGCAAAGTCAGCGGGGAAAAAAGTTTCGTGAGGCTCGTCTGACGGTTGGCAGGTGGTGCCGGTTGGCGAGGTGGTTGGTTGTCTGTTTGGTGTGGATGAGAGGCGGTGTTTACTCAACTGTGGGGGCCGTGTCCCTTGGCTGCCCGGATGGCAAGGCTAGGGGCATGGCGTCCTGTGTGGCGCACTGGCAGATGTGGTTTCCCCAGCTCACGCTATGCTGCTCACCGCGGCAATCTGTTCAAAGTTCAACTGACTAAGGATACCAATTTCTCAACGATCGCCCTCATAATTGCTCGTTAGAATTTAGAGAATTAACTTATACTCTGGTTCATTGAAAGGTTTGTGATTTGTTGCATCATTTTCGTATCTCGCACCGTTTTGGCTCACCTGTCTGTTACCAATAAATGTGCTCTGCCCTTATCCCCAAAACAAACCTTGTCCACCCCGGGTTTGTTCTGCCGGTTTCTCATAGTATCGGTCCCTGCTGGTTTGTATCTCTCCTTTCTCCATCTTCCGTGCTCCCCTCTAGTACAGTTTATACTGACCAGCGAATTACGGTCACAACCCACCGGCTACTGGATAACGGGCAATTCCTGCCGATAAATATCAGACATGTTTGGATGTATTCGAGCATTCCAGCTTTCCATTCCCCGCCGCCACCGACGCACAGAATTAAAGATCGGCGCTGAGCTCCGTTAGCCAGGACTTTCTTTGAAAGCTGACAGTTATCTACGCCTACCATTTGTATTTCACATTGCAGTCTATCCGTTAAGGGGATGCACCGGATTGCCATTCCACATCAGTGTATTTTTCTGTTCTTTTAGCAGTTCCTGCATTGTCAGACGGATTAACCGCGTCTTGTCGGTCGGTGCTGTCATTTCAACCAATGCAGACATGTCTGGTCTTCACAGACGTTTGCGCTCAGACGTTCAGACGTTGCGATGTTTCTCTGCGTGGTCGATCGCCGTTCGTTTGGATTGGAAACATCGAACTGCCGTGTTGTGGAGCTGGCTCTGGCACACTGTTCTGTTTTTGCTGTCCACGTTAGCCGGAGCTGATCACGCTAATGAACAGCGCCGGAATAGTGCGGCTTCCGAGTTAGGACTGTGTTGGTGAACTGTTGTTAGTTGCAGTGTCTCTCCCTATTGACTGCTGATAACTACGTGGAACTCATTGACGTTATCCGGTGGCTATTGAATTAAAAAATCAGCATCTAGGATGCCGATGGATTATGGCCACTGATTTTACACCAACGAGAGCCAGGACTTTATTGCGTTGCTAAGTCGATCGTTGATTTTGTATTACCACAATCTAGTCGATTTCGCCACCGGCACATGCCCCCTGCATCGGTCATCCCGTCTCTCGGTCGACCCTATATGGAACCCGCTCCCAACACTCGCCTCGTTTGGCCATCATCGATCATGAGCCTGCACAGGGCCGTCAACTGTGACCCGACCACCTCCACGGCAAAAACCGGCGGACTTTCGCCCCCTGAATGGAATCTGCTCGATAACGCAAAAAGACGGCGCCGGCCTACTTCGGGCGGCGCTGATCTGTAAGGCTGGCGTATGGGCAGTGTGTGCGCCACATGGAGACCCTTTCTAGGGATGATGATGTGCGAGTTTGAGACCTGACCTCGGGGTCACCGCTGTGTGTGGTGGGGCTAAAGTGACACACTTCTCATTTGCATTCCGCTCTGAGTCCGGTTTGAGTCACTCTTGCAAGTTTCATCACAATTTCTGTGGTGTAATTATAGCGATTCTGTTCAGAAAGGCTTCTGGTTGTACCAAGACATGTATGGTACTGATATTTTTGCTTTTCGACCACTTAGAGACTGAGTGATTTGAGAAGAAAACTCTTGTTGCTAACTCATTCTAATTAGTGCACTGCCCACCTGAGTTGGATACCGAAGTCATATTTCCTTGTTTTAGGGCTTGAATGCTCAGTGGAACCCAGCACAGTAAAAACCTGCCTGGAAACAGTCAACGTCAACTTTACTGAAGGATTGTGATTTTTTCGAGAAGTCTTTATTTTTCTTGTCTTTCGCTTCACTTCTGGTAGACATTGGTTCACTGAGGGAGACTGAGGGGACATTGGTTCACCTTTATGTCAGCAAATTGTATGTGCTGTAGTTTGTTGCTCTGTCGACTGTAAAATATAACGACCTTATTTTATCTGTGTGTTCCAGGATGGTGTTTCTGCACGACTGGGAGTGGGACATTGTGAAGCGGTCCGGTCACGACGGCTGTGAGGTGATCATCACGAGGACAGAGGGTGACCCGACCCTGGCCACCCACCCAGGTAAGTCGGGTCACATCGGTGGAGGGACTGGGTTGTGAGGTGATCATCACGAGGACAGAGGGCGACCCCAACCTCGCCACCCACCCCGGTAAGTAGGATCATATCGGTCTACCTGGGCTCTTCACGACCTCTGGTGAAGCTTTATATCCAGCTGCCACAAATCGTTCGAGGGATTACATATCCATCATGCTATGTTGTTTCTCTTTACGGCAAGATGTGGAAGACTTTCACACCATAACTCTTGCCCTCCCCTCTCCCACATTTCTAATCTTCGACTGCATCTGGCATCGTTCGTGCCCTATTTGCTCCCCTGCCGAAGCTGTCTCCCTATCTCCCCAATGACAAACGCTACTCTATTAACGCCTAATGGTCAGCAGAGGTCCCAATTGATTCACTCTGGTCTCACTTTTGTTGGGCGCGTGTGCGGCCTTCCAATCGAGCAGCGGCTGCCGCCGGCCGGCTGGCCAGTTGGGACATTGGTCACGTTTGATCTACCGTTTGGGCAGCGTGGGGAGGGAGTGTACCCCTTTGTACCCCGTGATCGGCCGCGCGGAGTAGCGATGAGCCGTGTCGTGTTAGATGGGGGGAGATGAAGTGAGGAGCGCGAACGAGTTGTGAGCTCCCGGCTGAGGAGAGGGGGGGGGGGCTGAGGGATGGAGGTCGGGGATGGGTAGATAATGTTTAATAAAGCGAGTGCAGTTTAAGAAGCGTGAGAAAACCAAACATTGTGTGAATGACTGGGATATATGGAACGATGTTCTCGCAGGTACGATAGATACTCGTAGACTGCAGAGGAACTGTTGGTGGGATATCGGATCAAGCTGATCGTAGACTGGTGACTTTCATGATTGTGCTCTTCCAATAAAGTACACCAGGTTTATCCCGGCTTCTATCTCCCTCGTTGAACGTTGTTTTAGATGACTTTTCTGCCCCGGATACCCGCTTCGCGCTGACTTCTCCCTCCGAGTCGCTCCTCCTGTGGCCCTCTGGCCGTGTCACTCCGTCTCTGTCCCTCAGTCTCCCTCCCTCCCTCAGTGTCCCTCAGTGCCCCTCGGTCCCTCCATCCCTCGGTCTCCACCGTACCGACACTGCCTCTCCGTCCGCGTCCCTCCCGTGTCCCTCCTTCAGTGTCCGCTCCCAGACGGTGATTTATCAGCTCTGTGGGCTGATTGCGGCCGTCTGCCGTCTACCGCTCCCCACAGCCGCGGCGCGCCGGCCCTAATTCGTACCGCGCTCCTCATCGCCTTGTCCACGCCGCCGCGCCGGCCGGCTCATTTCAACAGACGCGTCGTCGGCGAACGAAGGGACAGTGTGATACCGACTGCGACGGGACTGGTCGCGACGCCGGGGAGGGGGTAGAGGGGAGGGCTAGGGAGTTGAAAGTCAAGGGGTGATACGTTGAGGAGTGGGGGGGGGGGGGTCGCCTGTTACAATCATAGACAATGATGCAATGAAGTGCAGTAATATTGCAGCGGCCAGCGGGTCTGTGAAATCGTTTGAGACTTCGAGACTACTGTCCGCATGAGTCGACGACTGAACCCCTAGAGGTTGTTGACGCCTCAAAGCGACTCGCTTATGAACAATGCCCTAGCGGCGCCCCTCGCATCCGTCCGAGACGTTTCCTTCCTGTTTGCGACTTCTGTTGGGGCGACGATTTTTGGCGGTCGGTCCGCGCCGCTGGTTTCAGCCGCTGCTCCGCGCCTCGGTCTGAGGTTAAAGATCTCTTGGCCCTGTGGGGAACGCTGGTGACCACCCGACACGTCGGATCGACTAGAAGCCGCGCCACCGGCGGCGACCGCGCCGGCTTCACAGCGTGGGGCGCCAGCTAATGGATGACGCTTCAGCCGGCGGCGGCGGGGCGATCCGTCATCGGAGCGGGGACGTCATCAGAGAGCCGACGGAGGTGGCACCGCCCCGGCCGGCGCAGACAGAAGAATGACCGCTCGGAGCGAATGGACAGCGCCTGAGAGCGAGTCAGGCCGGTCTGGAGAGGAGGGTTCTCAGTCTCACACGCCAGCTTGATATTGAAACGAGACTCGGTGGTGGAACAATGAGGAAGCCACCGGCTCTCTTGGTTTGAAAACGGGACTGAGTCTGGCAGCGCGATGCGAAAAGAGGAGGGGAGAAGGATGCGACGCATCCCGCCCACTTTCAGAAGCAGGCGATGTGGCGTTGCTTGGTTCTGTGCGGGGAGAGGAGAGAACTTCCGACGCCCTCAGAAAGATCAACGGGTAAAGAATGATGGAGAAATTGTGTCTTAATGTCAAGCGATGTCGATCGAGCAGACCATCGTCTGATTTGTGTAAAACGCAGCTTCTTGGGTGTACGGCTTGGTGTGAGGATCGTGCGCCGAGATCTACTCTCTAGGGTACTTGTGGAATGCTCCAACGATTTGTGGCTCCTGTTTAACATCGTAAAACTAATGTGAAATAGCGAGTAGACCCACAAAAACCCGGGCGTGCCACCGTCAAACCATTCAAGCCATTCGTTAACATGGCTCTGCAACGCATTAGCATTCTATGGCGCGTGGATCTGAAATCAAACAGTAGCGTTTACTACGGTCGTATCCCGTAAACATTCCTTCCATTGATTGGTGCAGGAGCCATGCACCATTATGCCACGACTGCCATGCAATAAATCCTACCGTTGACCGCGCTCCCGGAGGGCCATAAAACTTCTTTGGTCCCGTTCCGCCTCTTAGCGCCATCGCACGCTGAGCTCTCCCTCGCTACTCCCTTCCTCTCGCCTCCCCGGGGGCCGAACGAACCGGAATAAACCTCCGACGGAGACGGAGACGGAGATGACAGTAAGCGCTCAGACTTTTGCGCCCTCGTCTGATGTGAAAATGACGAGCCCGGCGGCCGGCTGTCTCAGTGTAACCGGCCTCGAACCGCTTCACTAGCGTCCTAGCGCTACTGAGATATCTTGTCCCACTATGCCCGCTCTGTAAACACGGTGTTGTATAGCCGACTACAGAATGATGTTCCACTTTTCACAAACAATTATTTGCCTGGAGTGGTAGGCTGTGCCACATCACACGGGCTGAGTTCACAAATTATAGCTTTGTCCCAATGCTCACAATCGACACGCTTCATTGCGTTATAAACGGCACAACTTAGCGCTCCGGTCAACTGATCGCTTCAGAGGAGTGGAACATCATTCTGTAGTCGACTATACACGAGTCGGCGCTTTGTGCCGATCGTAGATGTTTTTGAGAGGGGCAAAACTGAGCCGCCGGTGGCGGTGGGAAAAAGTTATCGCGCTAATAAATGGAGAGTCTCGCGTCCCCTCAGAGGCTGTATTCTGGCTCTCTGGGGAGCGGAGTTCGTTAGTGCTATTAATTGTACTCCCGACTGGTCAGTTGGAGCTTCTGTTGGCGCTCCGTCTGAGAGAACCAAAGACGAGGGAGGCGTGGTTCTTTGGTCGCCGGGCGTCCGATCGTCTTTTGAAGCGTGCTCGGGCGGCACATTGACCGATGTCTCGATCGATCGGCTTTTTGCGGGCCGGCGGACTTCGAGACGAACGCCTCGTGAATTAGTGGTGACGTGAGCCTTTGCTATCAAGGTCGTCGGACGCTGTTGTACCGTTCGTTCGACGTTGTATCATGTTACTACGCCCGCTTATTCTGTAGGTACCCTGCGCTCTGCTCCTACTGTTGCTATTCCGCTATCCTTTCGTATACCTCCGTACAAAAAGCCCCTTTGCTGCGGTAATTTCACCCGTTTTCGCCCATTTGGGTAATTTTCAGTCGATTTGAGTTGTTTTGCGCCGTCATTTGCACCCTCTTATGGCGATTATTGGCACCCCAGGCGATGACACAAAGCTCACCTCCCTGTCAGGTCGGACACCTGAATCAGGCGTCATGAGTCACGGGTCATGGGTCATGGGCCGGTCACGGGTCACCGCTGAGGTCAGGTCTGGTCCGCGGCGGTGCCGGCTCTGAGGCGGGGGTGTGGGAGGCGCGTGGGAGCCATCGGTCGGCCGTGGCCGGTTTTTGCACACACCCCGGGCCGCCTGGCACCGGCACCGTCTCCGGGCCAGGTCGGCGCCCTACAGTCGCCAGGGAGGGCAGGAGGCGAATGAGATGTGGTGTCAGGGGACATGGGGTGGGTTTCAGGCTAAATTTTGGATTATTGTAATGACACTTGCTCTCTAGGTCTCATGACTGGTAAAGCTTGGTCTCATCCCTCGCTAAAATGAAACCTCGATGTCGTTTTATTTTGCATACATATAGTTGTGTTTCGGTAGACATTCCGTTAACCCTAAGCAGTCATTTTTTTACGAAGCAATATTATTTATTGACATTGAGAAGGCTCAGCGGTTGCGTCTGCCTCCCCGGTCTCACCCGGCCGCTCGGGCTGTCAATCTCACCTCTCGACTGTTCCCGTACGTCAGTTCTGGCGCCGCCGGTGTCACTCTACCCTGCGCTCCTGTCCCTCGCCTGTCCCTCTGCAGTCCCTCTGCTGTCCCTCTGCTGTCCCTCGCCTGTCCCCTCCGAGTCCGCCGCTCCACCGTCCAGTGGCCGGCCGACACCAATCTAAGCTCGACATGCCTCCGAATCATTTACCGCCGGCAAAAACCATCATTGAAAATGCATTAGGGCCGGCGCGCAGGACATTCGACAAAAACCTAACGATCTCGGTGATGGATGCGGCACTGCTCGGCCGCCGAGAAAAATTACCCCGAATTGAAAGAAACGGCACACGAAGCGAGCAGTCGGCCGCTGGCGGCGAGTCGGCGCGACTTCCGGGACTGGGACGGTGGGGGTTTACCCGGGGAGAGAGGATTTTCAACCCTGGGGTCTGGGATTCCGGGCTTTGAGAGCGGCCGATGTCCATCGTTTTAGAGAAAGGAGGGCGGGTTAACGGCTTCATGCTCAACTCAAGGGTTAGGGGTCTTGCTTTTTAACCCCTGATTCGTATTTTATGGATCTAAATAAGATGTTGGGACTGGCTCGAGGCCCGTGAACTCTTTTTTTTTTTGCTGCTGTAGGGGAGAGA